GATTTAAATTTTATCTGTCCTTGTGGTGAATGACAGGATCTTATTGTGCATTTTAACTTCCCTGACAGTACTGAGAACTTTTTCCTGTGCCTTTTGTCCTTTGAGACTCTTCCTTAGTAAAGATCTGTTCAAACATTTTCAGATTGCAGTTCTTCTTGAGTTCTCAGTGCTTCTTACATATTTAGGACACGAGCTCCCTGTCAGATGTTTATACAGTCTCCCAGCCTGTGGCTCACCTTTTCATTTTCTCAGCAATGTCTTTTAAATAGTCACAAACTTAAATTCTGATGAAATCCAATTTATTAATTAAAATGGTCCATGATTGTGCATCTAATCTAAGAAACCTCTGCTTATCCCAATTTTATAAAATTTTCTCTTATATAACCTTCCTGGTGTATTAAATTGATTTTCTTTGCTGTTTAGATGCATGGTCCATTTCAAGGTGATTTTTTTTTTTTGTACATATTGTGATAAGAGTTCCTGGTGGATACATGGTTCGGGTGAGGTCCGACACTCTAGTACCCTGTTCTACAATTTGCTCCTCTAAGCAAAACAGTTGCCATCTTCACCAGGTCAGATATGCCTACTTGTAAGAGTCCATCAGAACTGGCCTGTGGACTGATGAGCTTCCCTTAGAGTAGGGGTGGGGAGGGTCATGTCTGCAATTCTGCCCTATGTGTAGCCTGGGGTCTTGGAATTCTAGAATGCATAGACTGGGGAGAGTATTGAAAAGGAACTCTGTCTAGGCAGCTAAGGGAAAGCTGCCATCCACGCTGGGTGAAGACTTTCAGCCACTCTGCCTCCTCACCCCCTGCCAGTAACCTCTTGCCCATGATCTGTAAGCAAGCCCCTCAACTCACTGGTTCCCCAGGGCAAATTTTGGTGTAGCTTGTTGTTGAGGCCTTATAAGGATGGGGTAGATATTCTTTATGTCTCCCCAGGGAAAGAATTCTTCCCATATTTGTCAAGTGCCACCTTGATGCTGACCCTTTGTGCATCTCTATCCCCATCCCAGTCACCTCTGACTCCTTGGTCTACAAAGCCTTGGCTCCAGAAGGATGGGAGCAGGGAACAGGACAGTGGGGGCTGAGCTCCCACAAGAAAGTCCAGGAATATGGAAGTTTGCTTGAAAATTTCAGTTTAAATGACAGCTGTGTGCAAGAGACCCATTTATGTGTCTACAGCTAACGCATGAGTGATTGCCGGGGCTGTGGTCCTAAGAGGAATAAGTTAAAACAGACTCGAGATATTTCAACTAAAATGCAAAAGCAGATATGGGAGGGTAGCAGCAATTGAGATATTAACCCCATGGCACTTCCCTGAGGCTTCTGGGACACTGGGTGCAACATTCCTCAAGCACCCTGTCAGACGGGCAAGCGTCAGGAGCCTGGGAATCAATATTGGGAAAGACTCAGCCTGGGATGGGCAGAGAGCAGAGTAGCTTCTAAAACCAAAATCCCGCCTTCATGAAGGAATGAACTGCAAAGCAGTCATTGAAACCGTCAGATCTGCAAGTGCTAAGTAAGTACCTTGTCCAGTTCTAATCCTCAGAACTGTCCAGCTCAGAGGAGGCTGCCAGCAGCCACTCACACATGCAGGGAGTGGGGTGGAGCCAACACAGATCTGTTTTTACCTGGAGTGTCTCCTCTGCTTACTTCTTCTACACTTTGTTCTCTGAACTAGGAACCAACAGCCATTGCATTAGTTTCCTTGGCAGCAGGAACAGTGCATTGCAGACAGAAGGGCTCAGACAGCAGGGATGCTCCTCATCTTTCTCAGCTGCAACTCCAAGACCAAGGTACTGGCAGAGCCTTACTCCCTGTGAGGGTGCAGGAGAAGGTCTGCCTCTGCACCACCCCTGTCTTCTGAGGGTCTGTATCAGCCTCACCCCTGCCTTCTGAGGTCTGTCTTGGCCTTCTGCATTCTGGGATCCTTGTCATTTAGCATCCAGACTCCAGTATTCATGTTGTGGTCTCCCTGCATGTGTCTATGTCCAAAATTTCCCTTTTTGTAAAGACATAATAAATTTGGGAGCTCAACCCACTCTAATATAACCCAATTCTAACTTAACAACACCTGCAATGACCTGTCTCTAAATGAGGTCACATTGGGAGGGACTGGGGGTTTCAGCATTTGAGTTTTCGGTAGTCATGTCACAGATGAGAGATCACTGAGTCTCTCTCTGTTGAGGTGAGTATGGTCCTCAGCAATACCTGTTGGGATGACTTGTTAGCACCACTACTGCCTACCAAGAAAGTGGGGGTCAGAAAAGCAGGTCGTCTGGCTTCAACGTTACCTAGGTTGTGACCAGCAAAGGGCCAGGAGACCAGGAGACTCGTGCCCTGCTCCCCTCACCTAAGCTCTGCACGCATGAGATCCAGTATCTCATACCATGGCCACAGAGAACGCAGACTGTGACACTGAAATTGCAGGACCCCCGGGAAGTTTGGAAACCCTTAAAGATTTGTGTTTAGTTCAACATAGCATAGTCCCAAACTGTGCAGCCACAAACAGGAGCACATTACTGTGGATTCTGACCCTGACTTTAGGTGCATCCTACCAGAGGCAGAGCTGGCTCCCCATGGCTCTGGGTCCACACAACCCCAGTTCCCCAGAGCCCCTGACCACACCACAGTGGACGGTCATCCTCATGGGTGAATGACACTCCCCGGAAGTTCACTCATCTGAATAGCACAGTTGAAGTCCCCCCCGCCCCCCACAATCAAAACAGCCTGGAAAAGCCAGCTGTTCTGAAAGATGGCAATTATTTACAGCCAGCAAGCTGCTGAGTGATGGTCGCTGCCCAAATCAACCGCAGATCAAAAGGACGAGAGAGCGCGTCTTTCCATCTCAGTTTTATTACGCCTCAGAGCCATTTTAACAGACTGTCAAAAATCTCAGTGAAGAGAGTGGAAAAAATAATCAGGACGCCCTTTTATTGATAGGAAATTACCCTGAGGGGTTGGGTGAAGTTGTCTGAGTGGTCCTGAAAAGCAGGTCACACAAACTTTGCAAAGAGCAGAGGACTTGCTGAATGTTGAGTTTGGGGGAGGAGAAGGAGCAGCCATGGGCTTTGATTTTTGTTTCCATGACAACTCTTTCTTGCAGAGTTAAAGTATCTTGCTGTTACTTTAACAAGCAACTTAAACCAACTCAAAGGTAGCTGTTTATGGTTTGGGCAGCCAGAGGTCTAGAGCAGGTCTCACAGGACAAAACTCACAGCATTTGGGGTGGAGACTCTGGGGAGGAAAAGAAGCTGGCTTTCCTGGTTCCCAGAAGCCTCAAGGGTTCTGTGCCTGCACTCCTTCCTCATCTTCCAGGCCAGGCAGCAATGGTGCTCCTTATGCCTCACATTCTGACCTCATCTTTTGCCACTTCGAAGGTTCATTGACTGCCCAGATAAGCCCTAGCTTATCTAGGTCCTTATCTAGGTCCTTACTCTCACCTTTGACACAATCTCCTGGCCTATGACTTCAGACCTATGGGTCTTTGGAATCCATTAATTTTGCCTGCCACAGATTGTAGTGGATATCTGTTCTATGACCCTGAAGTGCAGCCCTAGATATATAGCGGGTAACTGCTCTACCTGCCTATGACCTTGAAGTACATGCCCCTGGAGTGTGGCCTCCCGGCTACCCTCAAGATCTGAGACACATGCACATAGGCAGCTCTCTTCACTCCCTCGTGGGATTTGGATGCTGGGACAGTTTGAGGTGGAAGAACAGCGTGGGACCATGTCTCACCTTTTCCAGGACCCCACAACAATTCCTCTGTTTTGTTTTGTGAGTTTTCCTTTCTTAATAAATCCCTTTGCCCTTTAAGCAGATTCTGTGGATATCTCGCTTTAACAAATGACAAGGGTTAAAAGCTGATTTAATAAATGTGCAAATCCATTCAGAGATGTATAGCAATTTCCCTAAGTGCAGCCTGCTGGTAAGTGGATGTCCCAGATGGGAGGTAGAGCTGTCCAGTTCTGAAGCTCAATCATGAGCACACACACACACACACACACACACACACACACACACACACACACACACACACACGCACACACAATGTCCCTGCTATGTTCTCTGCAAGGATGCAAGGACATGTACCGCAGCCTCACCTCAGGTGACAGGGTGTGACTCACCTGCCCATATAAAACGGTGGGCACCTGCTGACATGCACCGTCCTCCAGCCCTGCCAGTCACTTAGTGACATTTGTTTACTCCCCAGTCCGTGCCTGTGAGGCAGGAACATGTCCTTATGTAAATGGGGAAAGTGAACCACAGAGAGTCACCTGTCTCATGTGTCACCTCTCTCAGGAGAAGCAGAGCTGGCATGGGAACCCAGACCATCCCTGTTGTGAGTAGGAAAAGGAGCACAGGTTTTGGAGGACTGATACAACCTTCATTACCAAAGCAAATTCTCATACAGACCCTTTCCTGGCTACATGGTGCACCCCATTAAAGCCACCAGATCAGTAGAAGGAGGGAAGTCATGAAAAAAAATTGGATCTGCTGAAGAGTCAGCAGTGGGGTGGGGAAACCGGCCTGCTTGTGCTGACATCCCCCTGTTCTGTGGAGATCAGCAGGGGAGACCGAACACTCGAGCATCTCCTTCGAGGTCAGAGATGTCAGCTCACCCCTCTTTCATTTCTGAAGAACCCCACAGGTACCGTGTGTCTATAGAGTGAAGCACAGACCACACTTCCACAAGAAGACAGATGTGAGCGCTTCTTCAAGGGAAGCTGCTAAGGCTCAGAGAAGTGGAGCACATAGTCCAACATCACACAGTCAGAACTAGGCTTCAGTGTGTTTTCTTTGGAGACACAAGGCATGGAGACACAGAGAAGAAGAGCCTAGGTGGGTGAAGCGTCCTGGAGCCTGAGCCTCTCCCAAAGCCAGACAGGGTCCCACGACAAGGCCCACCCTCGTGAAGCAAGTCCTGTTAATCTCCCTGGGTGCCCGAATGCCACTTAGCTCTTGGGGCATTCTCAGGAGCCCTTGGTGACTTACAGAGAAGATGGCAGCTAGCGTCTCAATTCCACCAGTGCTCAGGGTGATGTATGGGATCTTGTCCTGAGGGATCCCAGCTTTGGAAAAGATGCTGTTGGTGTAGAACCAGATCTGTAACGCAGAAAAGAACAGACAGGTCATCCAGAGACCTCAGTCTCCTCCCTAAGTTAGACGAAGGTGTGAGGATCTCTCTGCACAGTGCCCCTGAGTCCAGGCTCACAGGGGAGCTGTGCCATATGGCCACGTGGCTCCCCCCTTCCTCGCTAACAGACTCCTGTGTTCCTGGGAGTGATGTCTGCCCCCCTGAGACACTGTTTCCTAGACTGCACACTGCACCGCAGTTAGGAGGGTAGCAACAGAAATATGGGTGGGGGTGGCAGGAAGCTTCTTACTGTATTTTTACATTTATTTATTTATTTATTGTGGGGGTGGGGCAGTGCACATGTACCTGCGTGTGTGTCGGGGGGAGGGGAAGTCAGAAAAGAAGCTGTAGGAGTAAGTCAGTTCCCTCTTTCCATTACGTGGGGCCCAGGGATTGAGTGCAGGTCAGACTCGATAGTAAGAACCTTTACTGAATGAGCCATCTCACCGGCCGCCCTCCTCTCCCTCCAGCCCTTCTTCTTCCTCCTCTTCTTTTAAAGAAACTTTATCAAAGGAGTATGCTCTCAAGTTTGTTTTATTTGATTTTGGCCTACTTTCCTTTCTGTGGTCAGGGTGGTGAATGTGATGGTTGGAGCCTCTGCAGCCCTCTTGGGTAATTAACATAAAATGCTGGGATAAGCATGCTTTGTGAGAATCAAAAACTGTTTCTACCCCACAAAACATTTTACTATCACCCACTAGAAACTGCTATGATAAATCTACTGCAGTACATATGGTACAAATGATGCTCTTGAGGTCTGTGTAACTGTACACGTACAGTCAGGTCCAAAGGAAACTCCTGTTCCCCAAACTCCCAAAGGCAGTCCAAATATTCAAAAATGAGCTCAACCTGGACTGTAGGAGGGTCTCTGGCTGTGAGATAAAAGCCAGCATTCCTCAGGAGCTTGTGAGGTTGGTTCCCATCTACCAAAAGGAGTTGTTTCCCTTACCCCTGGCATAAGGGACATACGGCTACCTGAGGTTCCTATTAGCATATCAAAGTCCATGCTGGCCTCCTGGCTCCCTCAGTATCACAGGTACCTGTTACACATTTCAAAGTCCATGCTAGCATTCTGCCCTTTCCATCTCCTCCTCTACCCTTAACTCCCTCCAGCTCATGGGCTTCTCTCCCTGCCAAGAGTCATGGCAGCATACAGCAGATGGCAATTAATAATTCAGGTGTCAACCCACCAGGTGAATGATTCTCTGATGGAGGAACCTCATTCAAGCAAGGCTTACAAGGCCACAGACTCCAAATATTGTTTGCTTCTGTCTGTAATTTTCTCATGTGCTACTATAATTCTTCCCTAAACAGCTATGAGATTCTTCCCACAGCCTATTGGTAGTGTGGTTTCCACTATTTGGGTACATTTATTTCTGTGGATTGACAAGAAGATTATTTCTTCTTAAACTGTTATTTTGATGAACGAAAATATATTTTCATAGCTAGGCCCATTGTTCCAAGAAAACTAGACCCATTGTTCCACAAAAACTTTGAGAAACTTAGAAACCCGTTTTATATCATAGCTCAGGCTGACATAGGAAAATAACAGTATCCTCAGCTACAAAGATAGTCTTTACACAATTAGCTGATTTAAAGCCTCAAAGTAAACTCAGATTCGACCAGGTGCTTTGAAAGGTGTCTTGATAATGCATTATAAGATAAACCTTCCCAGAAAATGCACAAGGACAGTGTTGCCAGCTTTCTGATTTGTTGAACCACGTAGTTATTGGGCACAAAGCAACTTTATCACGGTGCCAGCTCCTCTCTTGCCAAGTCTGGCCAATAGCATAGACCAGTGATTAACTCCCTGCACAAATTCCTCAGCAGTTAACTCTCTGCACACAAACTCCTAATCTTAGTTTTATGATACAAGACTCAAAGTTCAGCCAGAGGACAATCTAACTTCTTAGCCCTGAGAGAAAGCTACAAGTTTCCTTTTTTTGGTCTAAAGTTGCACACAGGATAGAAGAATATGCTTTAAGATTTGGGATGCTTTTAATGTAACTGTCCCTCAGCCTTCACTTTACAGCCTTCACACCAAGGAATGTGGTTACTCCCTCCCAACCATGCTGGCTGCAGTCCGCATTTTCCCATCAGCCCCTCTTTCCCTCTCAAAGTAAACAATACAAGTCTGAGAGAAACTGACACCCTTACTATTGTTACCACAAAATGTTAGTTTAAGATGTTTATTACACTTAGAAATATAGAATATAATGCACAATTTCTCTATTTTTCGTAGACTCCCCATTAGGTTAGCTTTATAACTCCTCTAATATCCTTTATAGGCTATCTCCTTAGTAAGATAACAGAATGCCCAGATCTTCCTTTACAGCTGCAACTGCCCCACTAATTAGGAAGCTGAGAGATTTATTATATGTGTGTTATCAGAATGACTTTGCTTCTTATCATTTACTTAAGAAAGGAAATGTAAATTTCAAATGAAACTTTTATTGCCTGAAGAATTTCTGTTGTATCTCTATCTGTCTGTCTGTCTCTCTGTCTCTGTCTCTGTCTCTGTCTCTCTCTGTCTATCTATCTATCTATCTATCTATCTATCTATCTATCTATCTATCTATGTGTGTAAAACAAAGGGATTTGAATTCTACTTGAAAAAATAAAGAATGTGGCCATCAGAATGTGTATGAGTCTTATTCCATTTCTAAGGCCCTCAGATAGAAAATTTTTCTTAAGCCTCGCTACGCTGCAGCATTTTCTTTCTAACCCTGGAACAGCTTGGAAGCTGGTCTTTCAGACTGCAATAACTCCCCGCTTCTTATAACCCAGCTATTCTCACTATTCACTCTCTTACTCCCTCTTGCTCTCTCTCTCTCTCTCTCTCTCTCTCTCTCTCTCTCTCTCTCTCTCATCTGTTCTCTATCTCTTGCTATCCCTCTGTCTCCACCATTCTCTCCCACTCTCCCGATACCCTAGCTATACCCAGGCTCCTGCTTTCTTCCTCTGCTCTGGACTCTTCCAGATGCCTCTGGCTGTTCTCTTGCTCTCAAATCTACAATAAGAACCTTTAATCATATGGAGCAGTCGTCGACAGTTTCTTCACGGGGCCCCCTCACATACAGAAACATTGGGACATTGGTATCTCTTGGCAGAGCCACTGATGCCCACAACTCGGGCACAACACTGGGTTGCCCTGCTCCAATGCTTGTGTGAGGAAGCCCTTGTTTCTAAATCTATCTCGTTACAAACAGTTGTTTGAGAAGCTATTCATTCTCTCATGTCAGGGAAAATCAAGACTGACTTGTATCCAACAGCTGGTTAGGTGTGCAGGGACAGGTAATTCTTCATAGGGTCTCCTGAACACCCAGAGACACAATTCAAATGAGTTACTTTCCTGATCCTTGGCATCAATTGGCAGAGATGGGTTTTAATGTTCACTTGAAGCAAGCAGCCACTGCCCTGGGTTATCTGACTCCCATTTGAGTGGGTGGGAGAGGTAGGACTTCAGGCTATCGGTGTGAGCCTTGCTACCTTATTTGCGGGGCACAGAGGCCGTACCTCACTAGCCCACCAGTTCTTGTGCATTTGAGGCTATCTATCATTCCCAACCCCTCAATGTCCCTGGATTTGTCACACAGGCTCCCTCCCCTTTGGATAGCCATGGTCCCCCAGACCCTGTCACAGCTGGATTGCAGACTTGGTTAAGAGTATTATTTATTGTCATCCCAACTCGCTGGTTTTTAGTGCCACCATGCTCTCTGCTTTCCACTCACAGGGAGGCAGAGCTTCCAGCCCCCACCCACACTTGGTATATATTTTCCCATAGAAGCTGTTCTCCAGCTCCACGTCATCTCAGCTCAGGGCCTCTCATTTGCCCCTCTGGCTTTCATGACCCTTTTCTTCCCTAGTTTCCTTTCTTTCTGCAGTGGTGCAGCTGTGGACATCCTCAGCAGGTTGGAAGTCAGTGGTGAGGGTCATTGTGCATGCCATTCTGTGTTCATTGTAGTAAGGAAGGCTGAGTCATCTTGCTGAATGCATCTAGACATCCCTAGGCAGGAGCTGCCCTTCACTCCCTGCCCCCTAGCCCCAGCCTGGAGCCTGTGAAGTCTGTAGGGGTAGCCTGTCCCATTCTGCAGATCCATGTAGCACCCTGCCCCCACACCTTATTTCAAGGAGGGGGAGGTGACTGCCTTTGCTTTGACCTCTGTGTGAACTGAAGGTGATGTGATCTGACAGTTTCAGGGCCTTGTGACAGGAAAGGAGGAAGCACCTGGGACACTCAGAGTCACAGAGCCATGGAGCCAGGGCTGGCCACCCCCACCCCACCTCACCAAGTCAGCAGGAGCAACTACACTCACCTCCCCTTTTGCAGGTTGCCCCAGGTTCCCTACCGCAATGGTGCTAACATGCTGATGCCTCCAGGAAAAGCCTTCATGTAACAAACAACAGGCACCTTCTAGACGGTTCCATCTCTCCATGGAGATATGCAGACTAATCGGATAAAAAGAGCCTCTGTTGTCAGTCTGTGTAGGAGGCATCTGTGAGGCCATCCTCCTTGGGGATGGATCCTTAAGGAGCCCCAGCAGGAGCAGCGCTGGCATCTTTCTGAGTCTCCATTTCAATTGTCCAAATGCCTCCCTTTCAGCTGCTGGTGCAGTGTTTTGATGAGGCAGTGTGTTGTGCCACCATTCTAGCCCTTCACACTGTGAGAAGACTGAGGAGAAAGCAAGAGCCCCACCCCACACAATGACCCGGGAGTGGAGAGGTGCCCACTGGGAACCCACTCTCTTCACAGTATGATTCAGATCCCTCTACTGACACCCAGGGCTCCTCTATCTGCTCGTGGCTGTAAACACAGTGGCCATGGGCTAAGAGAGGCGGTCTGACCTTCTTTGCCAACATGTGCCGATGTCTGCCTCATCTTTGTCCCGTGTATTAGTGACTTTTCTGGTGGTGACCAAGCTGACAAGAAGGAACTCAAGTGGATGGCTTTCGTTCTGTTTGGGCTCACAATGTGAGAGGGTACAGTGTGTCATAGTGGAATTCATGGAGGTGAGACTCCACACAGACCAAGAAGTAGAGAGCAAATAGGAACCTGGGCTGTGACCCCTGAGACCTGTCCCACCGGGACACACTTCCTGCTCATCTCCATTTTCTAAGCTATCCATAGCATCCCTGGACAGCACCATCACCGGGGAACCATGTGCTCTAACACATGACCCTGTGGGGGGGACAGTCCACGTTCAAACTACAACACCCAGAGCAAGACAATGCTGACCTGGACATGCTTGCTGGACATGGTGATCAGAACCATGGTCTGGGAATCTTAGTTTACACCGCAAATCTGACTCTAAACGTGGTTCAGGCCCTTGAGGCAGCAGGTTTTCCTGGATCACCTGAGAGAACTATGGATGCAATCACTCCTTATAGAGGGGAAATGGGGAGGCAGAGTTGGTCAGAGATGTCGGGGAGGGAGAGACATTCAAACCTACTGTATTGCTGCTGACTCTGAAGATGGAGGAGGAGGCCACAAGCCAAGGAGAGGAGGCAGCTCCTAGAAAGCTAGGAAAACAGAGGAACGGCTTTTCTCCTGGTGTGTCCAGGAGGAGTGTGGCCTGATTTGATGTGAGGACCTCTGACCTCCTAAGCTGTACGATGGCAAGTGGTCTGAAGCCTGTGGTTGTTAGTGCTGTGGTTTATTTTTGTCCGGCAGTGACAAGAAATGGATACACCGGAGAGATGTAATTCATTTATATTATGCTCTCCCCAGGGATGGGTTTCTTCCACAGACTGATCTATGGCTCTGTTTTGAGGCTTAGGCTTGCTCGTGTATTAAACATCTTCTGGGTGCTTGCCTAGGCTTCATCCCTGCTGGGCAGAACCTACTTGCTTTTTCTCTGTGTGGCATGCACAGGTCCTTAACCAGGTCAAAGCTTGGGTGCTTTTTCCTAACCCCATCCTGTTCTCTCAACAGCTGTGCCGTGAAACACCAGGCTAGGCTTCAGGCCAGGATGTGCAGAGACTAAGGGTACCTTGGGACTAAACCAGCTAAAATAGGCAGGGTTTGAAAACGGCCACACACACAGGACAAACACAAGGGAGAATTATTACCAAGCTGAAGCCCTGACCCACAAAACGCCTTTGGTGAGTGTCCTCAGCTCAGACATTAGACAGTCTGTCCCATTCCTTGTATGTTGAGTGTGTGTGTGTGTGTGTGTGTGTGTGTGTGTGTGTGTGTAGATCTGAGGTCAACCTCAGGTGTCATTCCAGGTGTATCCACCCTGTTCTCTCACTAGCTTGGGCTTGCTGATTGCTAGGTGGCTGGCCACTGAGTCCCGGGTCCACTTGTCTGTCTCCCAGGGCTGGGATTACAGGCATGCGCCACCATATTAGCCTTTTGAATGTAGGTTCTGGAGATGGACGTCAGGCCCTCATGCACACAGTAAGCTCTTTACCAATGGGGCCCTCTCTCTATTTCTTAGTTCCTTCTTAGAGATTCCCTTTGTATAGAGAGGAAGGAGAGGAGGGGAGTGGGCAAGGGAGAGGAGTAACAACCTCAAGGCCCTTTAACATCACCTGATCTTATTTTTAAAATAGCTGATCTTAGAGGCCCCACGGCTGGGCAATGCGCTGTTAGTCTCCTGCTAGCTTGGCTGCAGATACCATTGCTGATGTGTAAGTCACGATGAGAACATCTGCTCAGGATGCTCTGCAGACTGCATCAAATTCCCAACCCTTCTGCCTCGGCGTCTGGAGTTTCCAGATCAGTGTGCCCCACCAGACCAGCTCTCCTTTGCAGGAACGTGACGCTGCTTTCACTGAAAATGCTGAGTCTTGACTCAAGCCTGTCTCATAGGTGACTGAAGGGGGACAAATGGCAGGTCTGCCCAACATGATAACTAAAGGCCGGTAACTCAGCATTGGCACAATCTGAAGAACATGGAAGCCAGCAGGGACTCGGGCATCAGTGACCTGAGCAATGCATAAGGTCTATTTAATAGAGTGGTTCTCAGCCAGGGCAACTTGACCTCCAAGGCTGCAGCTGGGCAGGGGTCAAGGATGACACTGAACATCCTGTAACCTCAGGATGGTGGTTTCCAGCCTCAGGTGTAAACAGTTTGTGGAGTTGAGAAGCCCTGGCCTAGTGCAGGTGCTGGGGACTTAGAGAAGGGAGCAGGTGTGACTTGGCAGGGCCAGCACCATGCTCCCTGGACCTTGAGCTACCTGTAAGATACAATGTCTTTCTCACATAAGAAGTCTGTATGATGCTTACATCCTATAGACTTCTTGGGAACCAATGGGAAGGTGACTGGCTGTATTGACCAGTGTCTCCCAATTGACTGATCATAGTCATCTAAATGAGGGACAATGCAATTTTTAAAGCTACCTACTGTTTTTGTCTGGGTTAGTTCTTGGCCATGGCCTCTGCAGTATGGAAGAGAAGGCTGCAGTTCAGGGGAGGGCCTGGACCCAAGCCGGTGTGTCAGGCTTGCTGCTGGCATTTACCACTAACCAGCACGTGTGTCCTTTTGTCTATAAACTGAGAGAAGCATTGCTCTGTGGTTGCCTACGGGTGAGGTGGGGACAGCGTGAGAAACACATATGGAGTACCCTGAGGGGGCACTGAGGTCCCTCACTGCTTAGGGCTTACGTACCTAGAACTTGGGATTCAGACAATTGGTGCCCAAATCTCCTTTCTACAGCTTCTAGCAATGAACCTCTGGGGAAATGCTTCAGTATCTCTGTGCTTAACAGCGGGGCCTGAAGGACAGCTCTGGGCCCCACGAGGTGCTAATGTGAGCACCTGATCAGGAGGACAACTGAGTGCATAAAGTCAGGCCAGGGGGAGCAGATGGCCCAGGTTGCTTGCTATAGGTACATGGTGACAGCGAGGTGGGAAGCCAGGCCTCTGACTGAACCCAAAGCTCTTTGTCCTGTGTCAGGGAAAGCGTGTGAGCCGGGAAGGTAGAAACAGTCACCACCCTGCAGCCCACCAGATAGATTTTTCTGGCACACCTCTGTGCAGTGGGGCTTGAGGACACATGGGCGGAATTCATCTGTTATAGGATCCGCAGATGGGAAATTAGGTCCTGGTGCAGGAGAAGGTCTGCCCGGCAATGTCATGGCTCTCCATCTAACTGCCTCATTAAGCATGAACCTCACATGTCCTTAAGATTCTAAGTATGAGCCTTAGGAAACAGTGCATCCTTCCTCTCCCTTCAGAACAAGGAGGGTCTGATATACCTGACCTTGAACTTGCCTGAGGGAGAAAAATGGCAGAACCGGCCATGGCCGCTCTGGACTTAGACTGAGCTCTTAACTCTCCACTCCACATTGTTCTCTCTTAACCAGACCAAGGCAAAAAAGCAAAAATGACTAAGGAAGAAGTGACCTCATTTTACACCAGAGTTTCCGAAAATAGAATCTGGATATGTTGACATTAGGCAGAATGTGTGACTGCGGTCTTCCTGGACAGTCATTTCCCCTTTTCTGGACAGGAGTCCCACGGCCACTCCCTCTCCCACCTGAACACCACCCCGCACAATAACGGGGTGCTAGACTCTTGTTGAGCAGGTATAAAGGCTGAGGTCCATCATCTGAGCTCTTTGGGGGCCCTCCCCACAGTTCCCCTTCCCTGCCTCTGTTAAATGTTCTCGGCGCTGTGTGCCTGGAAGCCTGTCTGCATCCCTTGGTGGATGGAGAGCTGACCACATCCCAAGGTGAGGCATCCCACTTGGTTCCCCAGAAGCAACCACACTCAGCTTCCTCACTTCTCAGATTTGGGGATTTTTGCCTTCTGGAACGTTGACGAGAGCTAGAAGCTTGAGGACTCCAGAGAGGGCTCAGCTTAGACTCCGATAAGATGAAGCCAGCACCACCAAGATCGCTTCTATTTAAATCATTTTGGTCCGCTGTCCCTTTGACTTCCTGTGTCTGTTTATTGAGAGCTATGATACCGTATTTCCAGGGACACACAGTAGGACAACAAGTATTAGTGCAAGGGACGACTGTGCTGGCTGTGTGGGTAAGTCCGCTCCATTCTATCCCACTCTACAGAGGTGGGAACTGAGGACCAGCCAAGTTCTACAGATGTTCAAAGGCACAGCCTCAGTGGAGGTTTACAGAGCCAGGGTTTGAAGTAAGACATCCAGGGCTCACATTCTGAGCCACCCCCATTCTGGCCTCCCTCCCTTTCTCTGTTGATGCTGATGTGTATATGTTGGGGAAGGAGAGTATACTCACCGCATTGAGTCCACATAGCTGGTAGCTGGCCATGGTGATGACAACGGTGATGACCTGCCAGCGGACAAAAGGCGCCCTCAGCAGCTCCAGCACGGACATCAGGCGGAGGTTCCTCTGCACACGGCTCTCGGCCAGTACCTCCTCCAGCTCTCGGGAGACATCTGCTTTGCCCAGAAATGTTTGGAAGGCTGTGAAGAAGGAAGGGCAGGGATTGGGATGTTGGTCCTCTAGGATGCTGGCCCTGAATGGGCCCCACTACCTGGACATATCCTTGTCAGGGGTCTTTGATCTCCTCGAGTCTATACCAAAACTGTGTTTGAAAATGGGGAGATGCACCCAGAGATATGCACCAATTTTCCTGAGGTCACCAAGTGGGCTGAGAGAGAAGCTGGGTCTCTTAATCACCAACCTCCCCCCCCCCCCCCCCCCCCCCCCCCCCCCCCCCCCCCCGTGTTCAAACCTCTTCTGGGACATTTGTCCCATTTACCTTCTATTTACAGTCCTGCCCCTCATGCTGGGGGAAAAACTGCATAGCATCAAGCATGTCAAACCTTGCTTAGACTCCCCCACCAGAACTGCTCTTCCAGTGAAAATTCACTGAGCACCTCCTGTGTGCCTGGCCCATCCTCACTGGGTGTCTGGAGGCTGGCCACAGGTTTACCAACCCCGAAGTTGCCTCTATGGGTGGAAGAGGATTGAACCTAATGACCCTCATTAGGACCCTTTTCACATGACCCTCTGGAATGTGGATGTCCGGAGTATAAGAGGTCTCAAGCAGGAGAGTGAAGAGCTACACGCTCTCTTGATGGATGGATTTCCAAGTCAAGCATTGCAAATTTCCAGCCATTGGAGGAACTGTATTTTACCCCTTGTACAAGCAGGCCCCTGAGATTCTAACAGCCAGATCACACCGCATGGGTTCGGAGTAGAAGCCTGAATATTCATTGCTCTCCGTCTTCCCCTACAGGGAGAGGCAGCAGTGGTGAGGGCTCCTGTAGACAGTCCATTCCAGACACAGCAGGCAGTGTCCTTAATGACATGGCTCCTGCACCTCAGGCATGTGAAATTGCTCTTTTTAAGCAGAAAAGTAAAGTGGCTAAGCCTACTCCAGATTTTCCAGGCGGCGAGCCCAGAAGGGCTTCAGCGGTAGTGCGAGCGGCTTCCAAGCATCTCTTTGGAAGATCTGATTTAATGGTTCTGCCAGCACTGATTAAGGGTGCAGGTGAGAAGTGGCTGGATTTTTCACTGCACACTAACCCACTGGATTTTGAAATTGTCTTCCAAGTTCAAGATGTAATGCCCATGTCATAAAACAGGCCCAGAGTTCGCGAGCAGGAAAATATTTCCCTCACCTCCTTGATATGCATATTTCCATTACAAAATATGGGAAGTTTTATCTCCCCCCCCCCTTTCACCTTGAAATCCTCAGCCAAATTCAAATGCACAGAGCTCATCGTAATTTCCCTCCACAACCTCGTCCTTGCTGACATCTCCAGGGTCTGACTCTCTCTTCCTGCATTTTCTCGTCCCAGCATCCCCTCCTGCACTGTTATTGGTTCTCCCAACCTCCCAACACACATACCATCACCTGTTAGCACCAGGAGGTGCCTGGCAGAGAACGGGTGCCTGGGTGATGTTTGTTAGCATGGCTCAGATGGTAAATCTAGAACCTTCCCCCACAACAGGGATCTCCACTTTGGCACCAAGGACATCTTGGACTGAGTAGCTGCAGTGGGAACACTGGCACATGGTAGGATGTTCGACGCCATCCCTGGATTCTACCCACAGTTGTCATGATCTAAAAGACCTCCGGATATTGCCAAGCACCTTCTGGGGTGAGGCAAAGAGCAAGAGGCTCCTTGCTCCTCCCAAAGGGACACACACACACACACACACACACACACACACACACACACACACACACACACACTTGTCCCACCCTCTAGCATACCCCTTCCTCCCTTCCAGTGCAGGGCAGTTCCTCGGGACCCTAACCACTGGGCACCCTTTGCTTGTTAATTTGCAGCTATATTTGAGCTGCGTAATCCCTGCTTTCTGTGATTGCTCTGAATGATGGCACTGTTGCTGGGGCTTTGATTTATTGGGGTTTGGGGCTTTTGCTATACAGGAGACCCTCCCCAACCAGAGATGTTTTTATGAGAATGACAACCTGGGGCTAAGCTGTGTGAGGGAGGGGTACTGAAGGGTGTCCCAGGCAGCTAGAGGAGGGGAACCTTTGACAGCCGAAGAACATCCTGGAATTTGAGCAATGCAGACATCCATGGGCACATGTGCCCATTGCTCTGTGTTCTTTGAAATTTCCGTGCCTGTCCACCTTCTTGTTCATCGAGTTTCAGCTCAGTCAGTCCCCATCTCCTCCAGAGAGGAGCAAGCACAGAAGTGCAGGCCTGGGCCTGGGGTTGGGGCGAGGCTCCAAGGACATCCTGGGCCTAAGGTCACGATGGGGGTGCAATGGTTAGACTTCACTGACCATTTTGATTGGGCTTAGGATCATCTAGGAGACAAACTTGTGGACATGTCTGTGGGGAGTTTCTAGACTGACTTAACGTAAGGCAAGGAGACTCATTTAGCTGTGAGTGACATCCATGAGCTGGAGTCCTGGACTTGATAAAAAGGAGAATTCCAGTCTCTCTTCTTCTTGACTGTGGATGTGGTGTGGCAGCTGGTGCCTCATGCTCCTGCCGCCGTGGCTAGCACAGCTCCTGTTGCCCTCCCTCCCCACACAGGATGGACTGTGCCCACCAAGCAGGAGCCCAGTTAAGCCCTTCCTTCCTCAAGCTGCTTCCCGTCAGGTCGTTCGTCTAACTAATACAGAGGGAGAGACCAGTATTTCTGGGAGCCCAGAAGGTGTCTGTCTCTCCTTGGAGCTGAGTTCACAGTAATAAAACCCAGCTCTCCAGTCCCATGATGCTGTGGGACTTTCCCTGAGGAGATCTAAAGAAATATCTCATCCAGATGGGTGGACAGTGGCAGACCAAAGAAAGGTCTTTGTTCAAGTCCAGCTTTCTGAACCAATGAGCTTATTGGGGCCATGTATAGGAACACAGGGCACTCAAAGGCAGAGTGAGACATCACTGAGTTGCCCCTCTTCAGTGGCTGTTTAACACTTATATAGTGAGACCAGGAGCACGGGACTCAAAGACAGCTATATCACTAAGACACCCTTCCTCAGCCACTGTTTAACACTTATATAGTTAAACTCTCAGGGGGATTCCTGAGGCCCCCATGAACATCTTCTAGGGGTCTCATGGGCTTCTCACCTCCCTCCACGGTGGTGTTATGGATCTGAGCTCTCATGAGAGTCATCACGGATGCTTTGCTTCAAGATGGTGGTGTCACGTCCAACTTGGGGGAACAGTACTGAAATGCTGCTCAGCCTCATTCACTTACACCAGTGAAACTGATAAAGCCTGTCCCTTCCCCTTGCCGTCTGTCCCCTGTGTCACTGTGGCAGGTGCGGTCCACTGCCTCTTGCAGTTTACCATATCCCCTCTCGGGCAGGGCTGTCCCTGCCTGAGGCAGGGCTTGGTCCCCAGCAGTGAGCACCCATGGAGTGCCCTTGGCTAATGATGGAACAAAAACAACAAAGAAAAGCAGGACACCCGGACTCCTGGTGCCACACTGTCCCTGGAGCTGATGGGTTGTCAGGTGGGAGTGTTGTGGGGGTAACGGGTGGAGGCCTGGTCACCATAGCTGAACCTGCCTCTTGATGAGCCCCAGTCACCAACTGCCCTTCTTTTTTCCAGCTTTCCTTCCCTGTCCCACTTCCTAGCTGCCATCCATACTCAAAGAAGTCCCAATATGTCCTCACAACCTGGGTCAGAGAACAGTTACCTGCTCTAAATGCCTTGTGGTCACAGACACCTGGATACCACATCTCTGAGCCTTGCTGGTTCCAATTTTTTATTTTATGTATCATATTTTCTATTTAATTTTATGGCAGGATCTCACTATATAACCTAGGCTGGTCTCAAACTCAAGAACTCCCTGCTCTAGCCTCATGAATAATGGAATTATAGCCATGCAACCCTGGGCCAGGATGCCTCTCATCTCTAGAGCCCAGGAACTCCTCCCTGCCCAAAGCTCAGGACCTCGGCATCTCCAGTGGGGGCACTCGTTTCCAAGGTCTCTTCTCCAAGGTGATCAGGCTGATGGCCTGTACGGGGGCCTATCCCACAAATGCAGCTGAAGTTCTCAACTGTGGCACAGAGCTCGATCTGAGCTCCCTCCTCCCTGCTGCTCTGGATGCTGCGCTGGAGAAGGCATTACCCGACTCTACAGACTTGCCTCTGCTCCTGGCCCATTTTGTTCCTTCTGTCTGGGACATCCACCACTTTGCCTGCCTGGAACAGTCTTTTCTCAGGATGTGTTGAGCAGACATATCTCCCAGGAGGCCTCCTTGTCCCATCATAGCTACCCCATAACCTTTTCTCATCTGGCTTTCTTTGCCCCTGTGTCTGCCTCTCTGGGGGAACTTCTTTCATTCTTGACTAGGGTGATCTGTCTTCAAGGCTGCTGTGCTTTACCCAATGAGTAGTTTCCCCCGACAAAGGGACAATGTAGGGGACACTGCCATATGATGGGAAGGATGTGGGCCTGGGAGCCATGACGGCCTGGGCTTCATATCCTGCTCTGCCTCCCTCGTGTGATCCAGGACTAGTTAACCACTTCCTGTCTGCTATACTTGATTCTATAAGCTAGAAATGATAAAGCCCAGCTATCAGGTTGTTTGGGGACTAAAGTTACTTTTACCCACAGAGCTGGAACATAACTGATGTTCAACAAATAATAATTTTCATTATCACATTTGTCTGCGGAGTTGTTTTGCACGTACAGTCCCCTGACATGTTCTGAATGAATGGATGAGCACAGAACTCCTGCTACAGGGAACAGGGAGCATGACAGAAATACAGACGTGGAAAGCGGCAGGAATGGGGGAAGTATGATAAATGTCTATCTACCAATTAAGTCAGCAAAGAAGCCTATAGCTGGCCTGGCTTCCTCCTCACTGCCCTGGAGACTGCGTCCTAACAGCCAATACATTTGGGGGTAAGCCCCCATGACAGCTCACGAGGGGACTGAGAGTGAGCTTGCATGTCTTACAGGGCCTCTGAGAGCCATGCTGCTGCTGTGAGCTCTGTGCTAGCCCGGGGACCCCTGATGTGTT